GCTAACATTCCGAGCAGTTAACAAAGTGAACCAGGCGCGGCTGTCACCTGGAGGCCGCGCGCAGTGATACGAGCGGAGAGAAAATAGCGCCAAGTGATTATGAGGGCTGACTTTTTAGAGGACGGAGGTTTTGTCGTGCAAATGTATCACTCTTTTGAACACATATTGTTTTGAGAAGAAAAATGCTTTATTTTACTGTCCCCAGCCAACTTGCCGAACTACTTTCATCAGCACCAAAACCGGCCAGGATCTCGGCTCACCGGACGCTTTCGGAGGTAAAGTCAGTGTGGATGCATGACACTGCTCACAGGGATGACACACAGATTTATGTCAAAAAACCTGAACTATCCCTTTAAGGATGAGGACTGAGTCAGGACTAACCTAACACTAAACCAGGACTAAACTTGGACTAAACAACTCAAGACCAGTGTCTGTGTGGAGATGAGGTGTTCAAAGTTCTACAGAGAATACAGAGCTTTAAAGGATGATGACTGAGTCAGGACTAAACCAAAACTAAACCAGGACTAAAGCAGAACTGAACCAGGACTAAACGAGGACTAAACTACAACTGAACCACCTGGACTAAACAGCTCAGGATAAATGTCTGTGTGGAGACGAGGGGTTCTACAGAGAATATAGAGCTTTTAAGGATGACGATTGATTCAACACTAAACTAGGACTAAGCCAGAACTGAACCCAGACTAAACTAGGACTAAAACAGGTCTAATCCAGGACAAAACCAGGACTAAACTAGGACTCAAACAGGTCTAAACCAGGACTAAAACAGGTCTTAACCCGGACTAAACCCAGACTAAACTAGGACTCAAACAGGTCTAAACTCAGACTAAAACAGGTCTAAACCAGGTTTCCATGGAGACATGCAGCTGCCAGACCATCCATCAGAGAAGTTACATATTGCCTCTTTAATTAAAACAGGATTAGTCTGTGAGAAGTCCCAGAGAACCTGAAGAGTTTAAGAATAAATCCAGATGAGCCGGACTGAGCCGTGGTCTGTGGAGGTCTAGACTCGGACCAGCGCTGGACCGGGACTAAGCCAGGACTGGGCCAGGATTAGACCAGGACTAGACCAGGACTGAACCAGGACTGAACCAGAACTAAAGCAGGACTGGACCAGGACTCCTGTGGTCCACTTTGTTTTTGGGTTAAGACCTCCGAGCGCCCCAGGCTTGTTTCTGTGTGCCACTGATAACAAAAAAGAGAGAGGGAGAGGGAAGAGGGGGAGAGAAAGAGGGAGAGAGAGAAGAAAGAAACAAAGAAAGAAAGAAAAGGAGGTAAGAGATTGAGGGGGAGGACAAAAAACTGGAACTAAAAGAAGAGTGAGGTTAGAGAAGTACAGGGGTTAAGAAGTAATAGTGGTAGAGAAGGAAGAAAAAGAAGAGAATGAGGTGAGAGAGAGGAGGAGTGAGAATAAAAGAGGGCATAATGAAGTAAAAACATGAGAGCTGAACAGAAGAGTGAAGAGCAGACAAAGAGTCAAATGCAAATGAAGCTGGATGAATTTTCTCAATGAGCCCCTGGGTGTTTCAAGTCTCAAATCTGAATTATTTATTATGAACGTGCACTTTTTCTAACTCACTAAATGTACTTCAAAATCAGGACTAAACCACGATTAAAGCAGGGCCAAAACTAGGATTAAACCAGGACTAAATGAGGGTCTGAACCAGGACTAAACCAGAGCCAAAACTAGGACTAAACCAGAACTAAACCAAGACTAAACCAGGGCCAAAACTACGACTAAACTAGGACTAAATCAGGGTCAAAACTACGACTAAACTAGGACTAAATCAGGGTCAAAACTAGGACTAAACCAGGACTTATCAGGACTAAATTAGAGGAACTAAGCAAATATCTTTAGTAAATCTTGTTGGTGACATTGTAGCTGTGGTAGATGAAGTACTCAGTCATGTTACTTAAGTAAAAGTACATTAGTAAAATACTCTGTAGTTACTGAGTATTATTAATGTAATAGTAGTATTACATTAGTGATATAAGTTATATTATTAAAGTATTACATTAAAATAAAAAATAAAAATAAAAAATGAACTTAAAGGTTCACACTATGGCATTAAACCTTTCTATCTTCATGGAGACCAAGACAGACAGGTCAGATCTGTGGAGAGGCGACCCTTCTCACAGTCATATATATATATATATATATAACCACCTATAATTAAATAAACTGTAAAGTAGAGCTGTTTAATGTCATACTGTGGAACATTCCAGGCAGAACAGTGACATCTCCATAGAAACAAGCAGGGGACAGACTTCCAATCAAAAAGATACACAGTGCACCTTTAAGTAAAAGTATTTAAATACCTGTATAAAAATGTACTTTTTGAGTATAAGGTAAAAGTATTTCACATTTTAATACAGATTTTTGTCAGCACTGTCAATATGAATCTTAATTTTCTTTTGAATTGTGTGTGTTTGTTCTCGTTGGCTGAAAGTCAAAGCTAGAAAAAAATAAAAAATAAAAAAATAAACTTTCAAGATCAGTTCAGTCACTGTAAAAAAAAAAAAAAAAAAAACAACTTACTGAAATAGAAAGTACAGATATCTGCTCTCAAATTTGGTAAAGTAAAGAGTTCCCAATTAAAATGTACTTAAGTAAACTTCACATACCTCAGAAAAATTTGTATTGAGTATTAATACTTTTTCACTTTCCACCATTACTTTCGAGTTTCTTTCTAACACAGATCACAGTGATTCCAGGTTCTATAGTGAGACGTATAAATTACATAAACAGGTCTAATTACAGGTCGACTAATGACAGTACAGACGAGCAGAGGACACGTCGTCTCCTCTCATCACAGCTCATTCAGGAAAAACACAAAAGATCTCGCTCTTTCACTGTAAAAATCAGCAGTCGTCATCAATAATTAGGCTTCATTAGAGCACCGTGTTTCTGTCCTTTCACACAGACGTTATAAAAGCTCCTGGATTACACAAAATGGACTCTTGTCAGCTGTAAGACATGTTTTGATGTTTTTACTTCATCAAAAACATACCTGGAGTTGTGTTTTGTTTTAGTTTTGTCTACATCTCCAAAACTCAAAATGTTCTGATGTCATGTAGTGGTAGTTTTCATTTTTTTTGTCATAGTTGTACTCCATTGTAGTTCTGGTGCTGTCCATGGTTCTGAATGTAAGTCTGAGAAATGTATGGCTTGTGGGTTGTTTTTGTGATGCAAGAAATGACGCTAAAGTAAAGGTACTCAAGGCCAAAAACAATATAAATAATACAGAATATGTGTTCTTTGCTCTGGATTCTGTGTTGGACTCTGGGTCTGTGGACATAGGGAGCTGTCCGTGGTGCTGAAACACAATCTCACTACATCTTTGTTTTCCACCAGCTAAAGGACACAATAGTTATATTTGAGGTTAAAATCTGTTCTTCTCTTTTGTTTCCTGTGTATTTGCCTTTATGAACTTGTTGCATTCATGGGGTATTTACCAAGCTTTTGTCTGGTCTCTGGTCTAGTCTCTGGTCTAGTCTCTGGTCTGATTGCTGGTCTAGTCTCTGGTCTAGTCTCTGGTCTGGTTTCTGGTTTAGTCTCTGGTTTAGTCTCTCGTCTAGTCTCTGATCTCGTCTCTGGTCTCGTCTTTAGTCTGGTCTCTGGCCCGGTTTCTATTCTGGTCTTTGGATTAGGCTCTGGTCTCTGGTCTAGTCTCTGCTCTGGCCTCTGGTCTGGTCTCTGGTCTAGTCTCTGGTCTGTTCTCTGGCCTGGTCTCTGGCCTGGTCTCTGGTCTGGTCTCTGGTCTCTGGTCTCTGGTCTCTGGTCTCTGGTCTCTGGTCTCTGGTCTGGGGTCTGGTCTCTGATCTCTGGTCTCTGGATTAGTCTCTCCTCTGTTGCTGATCTCTAGTGTAGTCTCTGGTCTGGTCTCTGCTCTAGTCTCTGGTTTGGTCTCTGGTCTAGTCTCTGGTCTGAGTTCATTTGAACTCGACATACTGTATGTTATCCATATATTACACATACAGAGCTGTCCGTGGTGCTGAAACACAACCTCACCACCTCTTTGTAGTTTGGTCTCTGCTCTGAACATACTTTATTGAGCATAGGAAGCTGTCCATGGTACTCACTGCAGTCACTGTCCATGGTGTTGAATTACAATCAGTAAAACTAGTAAAAATACACAATAAAATCATATTTGAGTTTAAATGCTTTACTTCTTTCTTCTCTCTTTGATTTTCATTTTAAAACTTTTTTGGATTCAGTGAGTATGTACAAAGCCTATGTCCGGTCTCTGGTCTCTGGTCTCTGGTCTTTGGTCTGGACCCTGGTCTGGTCTCTGGGCTCAGAACACATTTCAATATACAGGACAATACAGGGAGCTGTTCATGTTACCCACTGCAGTCACTGTCCATGGTGCTGAAACACAAACTCACTACATCTTTGTTTCCACCAATAAAAGGACACAATAAAGTCATATTTGAGTTAAAAGCTCTTCTCCTCTCTTCTCCCTTGTACACTTTGAGAATTTATGTCTGGTCATGTTTTGAATAAACTTCAGTGGGCACTTACAGAGCTTATGTCTGGTCTCTGGTTTAGTTTCTAATCTGGTCTCTGGCCTGTTCTCTTGTATTTCCTTTTCTAAACTTCAGTGTGTTCTTTGGGAGCTTATGTCTGGTCTGTGGTCGGGTCTGGGATCTGGTCTATGGTTTGGCCTCTAGATTGGTCTTTGGACTGGACTTTAGTCTTTGGTTTGGTTTCTTGTGTATTCCTTAATAATCTTCAGAGTGTTTGTTTTCTGTCTCTGGTCTGGTCGCTGGATGAATCTCTGGATGAGTTTCTGGTCTCTTATATATATTTTCCTCTCTAATCTAAAGTGTGTTCTTTGAGAGCTTGTGTTTGGTCTGGTCTCTGGTCTGGACTCTGGTCTTTTGTCTGGTCTCTGGTTTTGTTTCTGGTCTTTTATATATTTTCCTCTCTAACTTCCAGTATGTTCTTTAAGAGCTTGTGTCTTGTCTCTGGCCTGGTCTTTGGTCTCTGGATTAGCCTCTGGTCTGGTCTCTGGTCTTTTCTCTGGATGAGTCTCTGGTCTCTTATATATTCTCCTTTGCGTTCTTTGAGAGTTAGTGTTTGGTGTCTGGTCTCTAGTCTGGTCTCTGGTCTAGTCTCTGGTCTGGTCTCTGGATGAGTTTCTGGTCTTTGGTCTCTTGTCTTGTCTCTTGTCTCTGGCTGAGTCTCAGGTCTTGTCTCTGCTCTCAGGTCTTGTGTTTGGTCGCTTGGATACTTTCCTCTGTACTCTCCAGTGCGTAGTTGGAGAGCTGGTGTTTGGTCTCATCTCTGGTCTAGTCTCTGGATTAGTCTCTGGTCTCTTATAGACTTTTCTCTGTAATCTGGAGTGCGTAGTTGGAGAGCTGGTGTCCGGCTCGTGTGCAGATGAATGGAGTTATCAGCGCTGGTTTAGGCCTGGCTGTGTTCTGACAGGCTTCTGCTTAATGGGCCCGTTTGATTGGAGCGCAGAGCCGGAGCGCAGAGCCAGAGAGCTGCCTCCTCCGTCGCCGTGCGCTCCTCTCTCCCTCTTTATCTTGTCATGTCGGGACTGTTGACAAACTCATTAAACGGGGCCAGATAACATGGGCTACAAAACATTTTCTAACCCCACGGAGCGTTGTTTCTGTCTCTACGAGCTGAACTGGATTCTAACCCATCAGAGCAACGAGAGAGAGAAAGAAGAAAGAGAGAGAGAGATAGAGAGCAGAGAGAGAGAAAGGCAGAAAGAGAGAGAGAGAGAGCAGAGAGAAAGAAAGACAGAAAGAGAGAGAGCAGAGAGAAAGGAAGAGAGCTGAGAGAGAAAGAAAGGCAGAAAGAGAGAGAGCAGACAGAAAGCAGAAGAGCGGAGAGAGAAAGAAAGGCAAGAGATAGAGAACAGAGAGAAAGAAAGAGCTAAGAGAGATAGAATAGAATAGAGCGACAGAATGAGAGGGAGGGGAGTGAGAGGGAGCTAGATAGATAAGAGAGAGCAGTGAGAAAGAAAGAGGGAAAGCGGTAGAGAGAGAGAGAGAGAGAGAGAGAGAGGAAGAGGACAGCGAGACAGAGAGCAGATAGAAAGAGAGAGCTGAGAGAGAGAGGGGAGCAGAGAGATAGAAAAAGAGAGGACAGAGAGAAAGTGACAGAAAAAGAGAATGAGCAGAGAGTAACTAGAAAGAGAGGAGAGAGAGAGACAGAAAAAACCTGAGAGAGAGAGGAAGCGAGGTATTGAGAGAGATGTGAGTGCAAGAGAGAGAGAGAGAGAAACAGGGAGAGAACAAAGAGAGAGATAGAGAGTAGAGGGAATAAAAATAGAGAGAGTGAAGAGAGATGAAAGATCATAGACAGGGAGAGAAGAGAGAGAGCAGTGAGTGAGAGAGAGAGAACTGAGATCAGAGAGCACTGAAAGGGAGTGACAGCGAGAGAGGGAGATAAGAAAGAAAGAAAAAAAGAAAGAGCACAGAGGGAGCCAGAGAGACAAATAAAGAGAGCAGATAGAAACTAGAAAGAGAAGAAGAGAAGAAGAGAGACAGAACAAACAGATAGAGAGAGACCACGGAGAGAGAAAGTGAGATATAGAGAGAGATTTAAAGTAAGAAAGAAAAAGATAGAGAGAGAATATATATAGAGAGAGAGAGCGAGAGAGATGAGGAAAGAGAGTAGAGAGAGCAGAAAAAGAGAGACAGAAAGAGAGTAGAATCAGGGAGAGAGAGAAAGAGAGAGAGAGATAAAGATACTGATAGAGAGAGTGAGCGAGCAGAGTGAGAGAAAGAGATAGATAGCAAGAGAGAGTGAGAGAGAGAGAAAGAACTAGAGAGCAGAAAGAGCAGAGAGACAGTGTGTTTCAGTGGTGGAGCTGCTCTGGGCTCATATAACTCGGGGTACAGATTCTTTCTAACCCTTGTTTTTTTCCTTCTTTTTCAGTGGTGCTGCTGAATTCTAAAGAGACGCAGGCGGAGCTCGGCTGGACCTCCTTCCCCCCCAACGGAGTGAGTCCTCTTCAATCTATTCTTTTTTGGGTTTCTCTCTTTTATGTTCATGCTCCACATCACTAAAAATCGGGTCTTTATCACCAAACTTCCCTTTAGTCTTAGTTTGTTAATGATGCGTTAAAGGTGCACCAGGTAACTTTTCTGGTGAAGGGTCTGGCATCTGCTCGAGGTACTTTTTTTGTGTGTGGAACCTTTCTGGTAAAGCTGGAAGATCTTCAAGGACACAAGCAGATGGTTCAATCATGTGAGAAAAGTTCCACAGTGCACCTTTGAATGGTTTTCTGAAAATGTGCATTAAACTGGAGAGGTTGTCCTCTTTTTTGTAGCAGGTTTGTATTGACACTTTGCAGTGACATCATGCTGGGGGTGCTCTACGTGTTTCTCTGTGGCAGTGTTCATGAGTTACCATGGTGACAAAAAAGTTTTGTCTGAACACTCATTGGTTCTGTTTAGGAGTTTGGTTTTCAGCAAAAAGGTGAGAATGACTAACTGAAAAACTGGCTTTTTATTTATTTTTTATTTTATTTTTATTTTTTTTTCATGTTTGTGAGACTTTTTTTTTTTTTTTTTTTTTTTTTTTTACTTTAGTTTATTCAGATCAGCATTTAGAACAATAGTGACAAAGGGTTATTATTATTATTATTATTATTATTATTATTATTAATTATTATTATTATTATTATTATTATTATTATTACTATTACAAGGGTCCCATGGTCAAGGAATCCTGGAAAAGTCATGGAATTTTAGTATCTCTTTCACACAATTCCAGTGTTCTGTTAAGTTCTCATGAGTTTATTCTGATTATTTCTGAACATCTGCACCTTTTATTTAAAAGAGCTCAATGAGGTGAGAGAGACCTACCACCGTGGAAGGTGTGAAACACATTTTATATATATATATATATATATATAGATTTTTTTATTACTCATTTTCTATTTTATTTTGACTTGTACATTTACATTTGTATAATTATGTCGTATTGACACCAGTCTCTTGCTCTTTTTTGCTACTTATTTAGAATTTTTTATTACCATTTATATTTTTACTTTTTGTTTTTGTATAATATTATTTTGTGGTGTGTGAGCTACTGTGTCCTTATATTTTCCCTTGTGGGTCAATAAAGTTTGTCTAAGTCTAAGCTGTTTCTTGATATAGACTTGTTTTAGTCTCCTAGTGTCAGAGGGGTGATTTTTATTAACTTACAGAAAGTACAAAAATCAAAGTGTGAAGCCGTCATTGGTCAATAGCAGGAAATTCACAGGACACTTTGGTTCTTGTCACACTCAGGTCTAAGTATATCATCGTTCAAGCAGGATCAGTCTAACACAGTCTGTGCTCCCACCTGTAAACCAGCAGCCAAGACCTACAATTAAACCGAGCTGTTTTTCTCCACCACTTTGTCAATCACATCCCACCTTCTACTCTAATAATAAGTCGGCAGAGCAATGTACCTTCTATGGGCTTTGTGAGGTGAACAAGTCAAGTTTTCAAAGTGTACGAGAAAAAAAATAAAATAAAAAATAAAAATAAATATGACAGAAAAGTAAAGAAAACACACGCACACACAGAGAAAAAAAATCTAGCTAACTTAACTTAAATAACTTACTAGAATATCCCACAATATGACATTACATTCTCGATTGTTGCATTTCTTAAATTACTGTTTTTTTTTTTTTTTTTATGTAGTGCCTAACATTTATATACTGCCTTTTTGACAACAGTTTGCAAAGAAATATTTGAACGTGTGTTGCCTTTCCACAGATGTGATCCATAATTTGGTAGTGTTGCCTCCTTGTCTCTATGGAGATTCTTTTAAAGTGATACTGTGGAACATTTTATCTAGGCAAAGAAACAACTCCACTGAGACAAGTAACCTTTAAAGATGCATTGTGTAACTTACTTTGGAGGGTCTGCAGCTTATCGGCTTGTCTCTGTGTGTAGGGGAAATTGCTTTATCTAGATAGAATGTTCCAGAATATGGCATTATACTTTTATTTTCCACCATTGTTGCCTTAGTGATGAATGATTTAAAACAGAATATGTTATCATATGAATGATGAAAATTATCCGAGTATTATCTGTTACATAAGGGTGGATTTTTGAACAGTTGTAAGGAGTATTATATTACATATGGGTGAGCCTTTGCACAGTTGTAGGGAGTATTATATTACATAAGGATGAGTTGTTGTACAGTTGTAGGGAGTATTATCTGTTACATATGGATGAGTTGTTGCACAGTTGTAGGGAGTATTATCTGTTACATAATTGTGAGTTGTTGCACAGTTGTAGGGAGCATTATATTACATAAGGGTGAGTTGTTGTACAGTTGTAGGGAGTATTATCTGTTACATATGGATGAGTTGTTGCACAGTTGTAGGGAGTATTATCTGTTACATAAGGGTGAGTTGTTGTACAGTTGTAGGGAGTATTATCTGTTACTTAAGGGTGGATTGTTGAACAGTTGTAGGGAGTATTATATATAATATGGGTGAGCCTTTGCACAGTCATAGGGAGTATTATATCACATAAGGATGAGTTGTTGCACAGTTGTAGGGAGTATTATCTGTTACATAAGGGTGAGTTGTTGCACAGTTGTAGGGAGTATTATCTGTTACATAAAGGTGAGTTGTACCATTGGAAGGAGTATTCCATTTCATAAGCGTGAGTTGTTGCATAGTTGTAGGGAGTATTATCTGTTACTTAAGGGAGGATTGTTGTACAGTTGTAGGGAGTATTATATTACATATGGGTGAGCCTTTGCACAGTTGTGGGGAGTATTATATTACATAAGGCTCAGTTGTTGTACAGTTGTAGGGAGTATTATCTGTTACATAAGGCTCAGTTGTTGTACAGTTGTAGGGAGTATTATCTGTTACATAAGGCTCAGTTGTTGTACAGTTGTAGGGAGTATTATCTGTTACATAAGGCTCAGTTGTTGCACAGTTGTTGGCATTTCCATGGAGACCAGCATCACCCAAAAAGTGACACAGTGCACGTTTAAATGTAAATGTTCCTCGTTTGGCTGAGCATTGTTCATCGTTGTTGACTGGAGAACGGAGAGAACAGAGGAGGAGGTGTGTTTTGTTTCTGGGTTTTTGTTTTTTTCTTCTTCTTCTTCTCTCTGATGACGTGATTAAGAACAATGACAAAGTGTAGTGTTTTTAAGCTCCGTCTCAGCCTCATTCATCAGCATGTGTCACCTCTGCAGGAACAGGCTCATATCACATCTCTGTGCTCTTAGTCATACAGTCTGTCTCCCGCCGCACTCACACTTTAGATTATTACTCTCCACAGCGCACACACACGTTTTGTTGTCATTTTTGCGATGTTTAAGGGTCCCTATTACGCTCTTTTTCTGATCTGTGGTGTCGTTTCCTCGTCACAAACAGACCTGGAGGAGTGTTTTGTTTCTTTCACACATGTTTAACGCACAAAACCTGCAGATTTAGGCTAAGTTCTCTAATAAAAAAAAAAAAACACTCTGTTCCTCTTTGTGATGCCGTACAGGGTCCAAACACCCTCAGTAGAATAATTTGGATAATTTCAGCTCTAGAATTTCCAGTCTCTGCAAAACAAAAGGTAAAGGGTAGCTGTTAATTTTTACTTCATGACATCACAAGGTTGAACAGAACATTTTGAGCTTTGGAGATGTAGACAGACTAATAATGCAGGTTAACTCAAACATGTGTGAATGAAACAAAACACAATTCCAGGTCTGTTTACATCAGACATGTCAAACTGAGGCCCGGGGACCAAATTAGGCCCATGATATAATTATACTTGGCCCATGAGATCATATCAAACATGTATTAGAGCTGCCCCCCAGCTACAGATAGACTATAGAGACTTTTTTTTTTGTTTTTTTTGTTATTATTTTATATTCTGCTTGTTCTGGATTCAATGTTTAAGCAAAACTATTATTAAAGATTTATTTCAATAAGAAAAGGTTTAACATGACATATCTCAAAAGAAGAGAAAATATGCAGATGTTGCTGAAATTTTTCTTTTTTCTTTCTTTCTTTATTTATGGTTTATGAAGTTTGAGGGATTGGATCCCCAACACATCCACAACAAGACAAACTTAACTAAATATAAAACTAACACACATACAAATAAATAAATAAATACAAATAAAATAATAATGATAATAATAATAAAAAAATAATAATAATATATATAAAATATATATAAAATAAATAAATAAAATAAAAAGGGGGGGGACTTTGACTCAACTGGTTTAGATTCATGGTGGAAATTGGCAACTTTTCTTGAGAAATAAACATTCACATTTAGATGGAAATTCAGTGATAGGTGCTGGGAAATAGTTTTGAATAGAATAGAAATCCCGGATTGCACGGCACCTGCTTGTCTCCATGGAGATGTTATTGCTGTGCCTGAAATGTTCCACAGTATGGCATTAAACCTATCACCGTGAAGACAAACAGGTGACACCGCCAGGCCAAGTTACAGGTCAGATCTTGAGTTTTCACACTTAAAACTTTTTTTTGTTAAGTTGTTTAGTTTCTGCTTAAAAAAAACAAGCAAAAAAAAACAAAAACATTTAAAACAGAAATAACGTCCAGATAATTTACTTATTCCAATATTAGAAAGTCGTACTTGTACAATTAGTCTGTGTGGACGTTCCTATGCAGAGACTCAATGTTTACGCCTTTACAATGACTTTTATACACAAAGTATAATGAGATGATACTGTGGTTTAGACTTTGTGCCTCTTCGTTGGTGCACAATCAGACTTCATCCGGGGTGTAATCTGTATAACATCATCCCTATCAGTAGTTCTTGTTCTTGTATTTAGTTAGTTTGCTGTTAGATAAACTGGAATATCCTGTTTTTGTTTTGATCAGAGCCCTTATCTTCAAATAACCTCAGTACAATAATAAACCATAGCTCGCCTAGTTATGTATACTAATATTCCACCATAGAGATACATATAGAACACCCCCGGCATGATGTCACTGCGATCAAGTTATAATCGTAGACACTGTAGATCAGAAACTGTACTAATAATGAATGGGAAGAGAGTGTACCTGTGTTGGTTGTGAAGATGTTCCCTGGTTAAATCCTGGATGATGCTGTTGTCATTAAAGTCATAATGCTGACGCTGACGAGACACAGTGACTCAGGGCTTTGTGTCTGTGTCACCGCTCTGACTCACTCGCTCTTAAAAGTCACGCACCATGACTCTCCTGACTGTGGTTAAACGTCCATCCCACTCGTGTGATGAGTCCTGTTTATTTAAGGACATTAATCTAAACTGTAATATTTCATGTTATGTAATAGATGTAAACTCTAGCTGAAATGTGATTTAAATCTTTTATCTTTGGGAAAGTTGTTGTAGGGTGATTTTAAAAATTAAACATTAGTCTTATATGGGGCTTTTACTAGACATTCAAAGTCACTTTACAGTTTTGTGCATTTGACTTTGAGTTGATTCAACTTGACAAGTCAAATGATCTACCAATGGAATAAGTGTTGTTGTTGTTTTTTTTTTGTTTTTTTTTTTAAGCTATTTTTTTTTTTTTTTTATGTTTTTTTTTATTACTTTTTTGTGCACATAAATCACATTTCACAGAAGAAGAAAATATTAAATAAATAATATAATTAACAGTAATACAATGTGACCATCCAAGTGTGTTTTTCTTAATTTAAGTAACATATGATTTTGTTTCTTATTTTAAGTGCAAAAAGTTATTTCTCTTATTTTAAGTGAAGCCAGATGTATTTTCTTATTTTAAGTACAAAATGTCTAGTTCCACTGGTAGATCAATTGATTTTTTTCAAGTGAAATTTACTCAAATCATGATAAAACTTTTTAAATTCAAGTCGTCTTAACTTGGATAGATTTTGTTTTTTGCAGTGTAGTAATATTTAAAGCTACACAGTGTAACTTTCTGGTTAGGTTTTTATTTGAATACATCTTTTGGCTAAAATCTAACTAGTATTTAATCAGATACAGACAGCACACAGCACTCTCAGTCTGGCCCATAGGCAAGGCAATGCAAGTTTATTTGTACAGCACAATTCGTACACAAAGTAATTCAAAGTGCTTTACAGAATAAGAAATACATTAAAATTACATTAAAAACAAATCAAAACATAAATAATCATAAAGATTAAAATAAAAAAGAGAGGCATAAATTAGAGAGAAGAGTGCGGAATGAAAACCTTTCAGTCATGTGCACAGTGAAACAGAAATGTTTTGAGCCTGGATTTAAACAGCGTCACAGAAGAGTCTGTCTCACATGTTCAGGAAGACTGTGTAAAGAAGTGAACTAAATGAGTATGACACATTCCACTCCAGTCAAATGAAGCTCATTGAGGCTGGAGATACAGGGGCAAAATTGAAACAGAGTTCCATGTCAGGAATTCTGACCATGAGTAATATGACAACCAAAGAGCCAAGGCTGTTGAAGGTAACGTCCAGAGACTGTGTATATAAATGGACGTAGCTAAATAGCTGCTTTCCAAATAGCTTTCAGCTCAATCGACTCTGGCTCCAGTTCACTTTGTATGGATTGACTGCTGCTTTGAGCTTTGTCATTTTGATCTTAAATTGTTAGTATTAGCCCCTTCTACATGGAGTTTTTATTTCACAGTTTGTCCATAAATCATCAATTGCTAATATGGAACTCGACTCCGAATTTGCCCCAATAACCACAAGCCTCCATGAGCTTCATTTGACTGGAGCTGAACACTATGGGTGACGCCACACTCCCATAAGGCACTTTCACACCACTAGTTCAATTATTTGGTCCTCACCAGGAATAAAGTTGTTTTCATGTAGCATATAGACTCCAGTGTGGTCCTTTCACACCAGCAGATGAACCAAAATTTTTAAAATATCGGGGGCTCCTGTGCACAGTGGGTTTGACCGCACGTGGCTTGGGGACTCTGAGGCTTTCCTCAGGAAGCACCATCTAGCCAACTGGCCTTCCCACAGAGCCACTCTGCAGGGAACAGGCAGCAAAGACCAGCCTCCATCACACCCCTTAACTGACTGAGGCGAGGGGCTCAATTCGAGATGATGGAAATTTAGAAGACCGGGGAGGTTGGTGGGAGTCCGAGCTTGCCCAAGATGCACTTCAAATAGTTGGATTTATACATCATTTCAAATAGTTTGTTTGGACCTACTGTCTATGGTTTGGACCTGAGTTTGCATTCTCACCAGAAGGACCGCACCAGAGTTTGGCATTTGGTGCAGAGTCAAGCGGACCAAGACCACCTTTTTTTGGGGGTCTCCACCCGCTTGATTTCTCCAAGTGCGATTGATCCAAGTGTGATTGATCCAAGTGTGATTGATACTTTCACACCAACAAAAATAAACCTAACTAAGAGCTTCTTGTTCGATTGGAACTGCTGTCGGCGTAAAAGCACCCTTAAGTCCACTTCTTTATACAGCCACACTTAAAAAAAATGCAATGCTAACCACAGCCCTAACCCCTTTCTTTCTTTCTCTGTCTCTCTTTCTCTCCCTCTCTCTTTGCAGTGGGAGGAGATCAGCGGCGTGGACGAGAAGTACAAGCCCATCCGCACGTACCAGGTGTGTAACGTGATGGAGCCCCTGCAGCAGAACAACTGGCTGCAGACGGGCTGGGTGGCCAGGAGGGGGGGCCAGCGCATCTTCGTGGAGCTGCAGTTCACCCTCCGAGACTGCAACAGCATCCCGGGCGTGGCTGGGACGTGCAAGGAAACGTTCAACCTCCTCTACGTGGAGTCCGACCGCGACCTGGGCGGCGTCACCAGAGAAGACCGCTACACCAAGATCGACACCATAGCGGCGGACGAAAGCTTCACGCAGGGAGATCTGGGAGAACGGAAGATGAAACTGAACACCGAAGTGAGAGAGATCGGGCACCTGAACCGAAAAGGCTTCCATTTGGCGTTCCAGGACGTGGGAGCGTGCGTGGCCCTGGTGGCGGTGAGGGTGTACTACAAGCGCTGTCTGGCCACCGTGCAGAACCTGGCCGTGTTTCCGGACACGGTGGCGGAGGCGGCGTTCGCGACCCTGGTGGAGGTGAGGGGGGCGTGCGTGAATAACTCAGAGGTGGATACGGACAGTCCTCCCAGAATGCACTGCAGCGCCGAGGGGGAGTGGCTGGTTCCGATCGGGAAGTGCAGCTGCAGCGCGGGGTACGAGGAGGGGCATAGCAGCTGTGAAGGTAGGAACCGAGATTTTATAGTTTTGTCTTTTTTGCGATTTAAATACCGTTGAGAAAAGCGATTTTGTGGTGTGGTGTTTTGCTTTATTGCGTGAAGCTGCTCGTATCTTGTTGTTGGAAAAGGATTTGGGAATTAAACATGGAAATATATGAATTCATGAGTTTCGACTTCAACATTTTGAGGACTTTTTCTTATTCAAAAATTGTAATATATTCATTGTTCATCGCTATGGCAACAGTGCTGATTTTTCATTGCTTAGAAACCCATGGGTAGTAGATTTGGGATTTTAGGCACTTTTCACTGTTGTAGTTGAATATTTGAGAACATTAAAGGTTCTATATTACACAAAATGTACTCTACCTAGGCGCTCAAAGTCACTTTACAGTTTTGTGCATTATTCATTCACTCCTGCTCTGGGACCAGTGGTGTAGTGGGGATTTTTTAAGTGGGAGTACGTGATTCGTGAATGAGCGAGGAGGACTAAATCAGGACTAAACCAGGTCTAGACCAGGACTAAAGCAGGACTGAACCAGGACTACACCAGGTCTAAACCAGGTCTGCACCAGGACTACTGTATTTTCTGGGCTATTAGACGCACTCTTAAGCCTCCAACCTCATCAAAAAACGACTGCGCTCCACAATCCAGAGCGCCCCATACACGAATCCACTCGGGTGTCCCAGCACGACTTCAGTAAACTACAAAGCCACAACACCCGCAGAACACGCAAACACACACGGAGCAGACAGCGACCGCACAGCAAAAAACACCCACAGACACACTCATCACTCCACGCCGACGAGGAACAGAACGGAGGAACGAACCGAAAAAGCGAGTGCAATGTGCCGCTTCTAGACACGACTGAACAACTGAGTCACTGCAAACACGCCGACAATCCAGCGGTGCCAGACACACCCTCCCTACACGCCACAACTGAACAAAGCCCAGAGTCACCGTGAACGCCACAAACAAACAAAACCACTCACCCATCCAACTCTTGGGTCCAGTGAGGTTTATTTGTGAAAAAAGTTTGAAAATAGACCATTTAAGGTCTAAACCAGGTCTAAACCAGGTCTAAACCAGGACCAATGTAGGAGAGATAGAGAGAGAGAGAGAGAGAGGGAGAAAACCCTGTGTTCATGGAACAGGGTGTCAGCAAAGTGTGATCGGGCGATGGTTGTGCCGAGCCCCAAGGGGTGCTGAGCTCTGCACCAGTCCTTTTTCCTGCAGTCACCCGATGGTCTACACGAGCGCACCTGCGGGCACGTCCCGACCTTTAGTCCTGGTTTAGCTCTGGTTTAGTTCTGGTTAGTCCTGGGTTAGGCCTGTTTTAGTGCTAGTTCAGTCCTGGTTCAGTCCTGGTTCAGTCCTGGTTCAGTCCTGGTTCAGTCATGGTCCCCTCATGTGGCAGGTCACTATAGGACAGTAGTGCAGATATCATTAGTCTGTGCAGGTTGTTTTCACAGTTGCCAGTAGCTGTTGTAGTCGTAGCTATTTTATATTTGTTATTTTTTAATAGCTCACGTCGGGAGAAGTGAGTGAACGGCGTAAACCTGCATACCACACCCACTATACCCCTGCCTGGGACACACTGACTGAAGTGAGGTTGCTGATCTCGGACAAACAATGTTTAGCTAAATTAAAATGACTTAAATTAAGAACATCTGACTTTATTTGATCCAACTTGACAAGTCACATCATCTACCAACAGAATAAGTGAATAAGTGTGTTTTTCTTCATTCGAGCACCATTAGATTTTGTTTCTTATTTTAAGTTCAAGAAGTTGTTTTTCTTATTTTAAGTGTAGCAAGATGTATTTTCATATTTTAAGTACAAAAAGTCTAGTTCCACTGGCAAGTCATTTTACTTTTCAAGTAAAATTTTCTTTTCAAGTAAAATTTACTTAAACTGACAGAATTGACTCTTGTGTCGTGTTCGAATGTTGTGCCTCATCAAAAACATACGGAAACATTCAGAACAGTCCTGAAATCTAAACTCTTGTCCCGAATCCCAAATCTGGCCTTAAATGTCAAGAAAATGACACTCAAACAGAATACTGAGTAGTTATTTTCTGATAAATATTAAAAACTTAGACAGGTTGAGTCAACTACATGCAGACTTGTTGTGTTCTTTCTTCAGTTTTGTGTGCAAAGAAAATAATTTATTAAAACTTTGTTAAAGTGATTCACAAAGGAAATGAAACAACAGGAAAAAGAAACAACATTATAACATTGATCATAAAATAGTGTATTATGGGCCTTTGAAATCAGTCGTACAGTAATATTTAAAGCCTGGACTCTATTTCATGTAAGTTCTGTTAATCTTAGAAGTGCTGGAAGTTAAATAAAAGTGTTGATTTGTATAGAAAGGTGTGACTTTGCCTGGGCGTGTTACATAAGTCTGTGTTGTGAGACTGATCCATCTTTAAACAGACTCAGGTTCTAAATAAAGGCGTTTGTTTTTGTCCTGAGTGTGCGTCAGTCACAGCCCACCAGCACCAGAACCCGAGCCAGAACCTGTACAGTACAACCAGGTCTAAAAACACACCAGCACCAGAACCCGAGCCAGAGCCTGTACAGTACAACCAGGTCTAAAGGGGCATATGCATTTATTAAAGAACACACACTAGTTTTATGTTTCTGTCTGTTCTGTGGTTATAATCTATGTCAACTATGGATCATTATCAGTGTTGGGGAGTAACAGATTACATGTACCAGAGTTAATCAGAGTACAAATTATGAGTAACTGTATTCGGTTACAGTTACTGTTTAAGTGAGTGGTAATTGGATTACAGTTACTTGGTTGAAATAAATGGATTACACAGAGGTATTTTCAGTTTTCACTTTCCTTTTTTTTCTTTTTTTTCTCGGTAATTTCACTTATTGCCGGACACTAAACCAGGTCCAAACCAGGTCTAAACCAGGACTAAACCAGGACTAAACCAGGACTAAACCAAGTCTAAACCAGGTCTAAACCAGGATTAAACCAGGACTAAACCAGGATTAAACCAGGTCTAAACCAGGTCTAAACCAGGAATAAACCAGGTCCAAACCAGGTCCAAACCAGGATTAAACCAGGTCTAAACCAGGATTAAACCAGGTCCAAACCAGGATTAAACCAGGTCTAAACCAGGATTAAACCAGGTCCAAACCAGGTCTAAACCAGGTCAAAACCAGGCCTAAAGTAGGACTAAACCAAGACTAAACCAGGTCTAAACCAGGTCTAAACCAGGTCTAAACCAGGATTAAACCAGGTCCAAACCAGGTCCAAACCAGGTCTAAACCAGGATTAAACCAGGTCTAAACTAGGTCTAAACTAGGACTAAACCAGGACTAAAACCAGGTCTATACTATGTCTCAAACTGGATTTAACAGGACTAAATCATGCTGCACGGACGTGTCTCTTCTTCTATCAATAATATTTTTAATACGGTTGAGTAAAGTCTGGGCTTTTTCTTTTCTTTTAGCAGACAAACATCTTGGTGGTACGATATCCTAGTCTTTGCTTCTCTACAGCAAATCAAGTAATCCAAAGTATTCAGATTACTTTACTCACCTTAAGTAATTTATTGGATTACTGTTACAAACTACATTTTGGGATATGTAATCTGTAATCTGTAGGGGAATACATTTTAAAAGTCACCTTCCCAACTCTGATCATTATGTCATCATCTGGACATTTACACATGATCAAATATAACAAATATCAGATTGGAGCGACAGTGGCTCAGTGGTGAGAGCACTGCACTGCAAATACTTCAGATCTGGTCAAGATTTTAAAACTTGCATCAAGTTTTTCATCTTGTTTCCAGATTTATGATCTGCTTACTGGTTCTGAGATGCTTCACTTGTCAAGCAAAATGATCTTGCTGCATGGACAGATAATTAAACTACTTTTACATTATTTTCTGATAGATTTAAGTGTTTATATCTTATATTTTGGCCAAGCTTTTTTGCAGTGTTTCTACTGCAAACAGCAGTATCTAGGTAAGATAAAATCACTTAAGTTAAGAATATTTTACTTAGATTCAACTTGACAATATGACTTGTTTTTATATTTTAAGTACAAAAAGTCTTGCTCCATTGGCAGATCATTTGACTTGTCAAATAAAATGATCTTGCTGCATGGACAGATAAATTAAACAAGTTTTAAGTCATGTTCTGATAGATTTAAGTGTTTATATCTTAAATGTTGGCCAAGCTTTTCTGCAGTGTGGTCCGACAAACCAAAGGTCGGAGGATCGATTCCCAGCTCGGACCAAGTTCTGTTGTTGTTTTGTATGCACTGCAAAAATCAATGACTTGAATTAAGAACATTTTACTTGAGTCAATTCAACATGACAAGTAAAACATTTCTACCAGTGGAATAAGTGTGGTTTTCTTAATTCAAGCAATATCACATTTTGTTTCTTATTTTAAGTGCAAAAAGTCATTGTTTTTCTTATCTTAGGTGGAGCAAGATGTATTTTCATATTTTAAGTACAAAAAGTCTAGTTCCATTGGCTAGATTTTAGTCTTTGCAGTGTGAATGTGGTGGCGTGTCACAATCTGTCCCGGGGCAGCTGTGGCTACAATAGTAATGCACCGCCTCTGAGTGAATGAATAATGACACAGCAGTGAGAGCTTGTAAAGTAAAGTGCATTATTAACATCGATTACTGGCCACAACAAGACAAATAGTTTGACAAATGTTCTGGTTGCTCATGTTCAGATCTGACCTGTACGTATGCTTCATTGAGCCTATATATAAAAGGCGTTGTGTTAGTGTACGTGTCGGTGTCGGTGTGGGTGCTACACATTGACGTATTGGACTCTAAACATGACCATGGCTCATACAAAGGCAGCGTGTGACGGCGAACTGCTGCTGTTAGCTTTCACACTCCAGCTTGTAGGCTATTGTTGTGCAATGCATCGTGGGTGTTGTAGTCTGGACTGTGGGCTGAAGCTCAAATGGTCATGTTATTATTATAGATCTTCATATTATTGATATTGCCTCATAGCGT